GTCTGGAGCCGGGGTTGGGGGTGCCCACCCCCGGACCCCCGCCGGGGCCCCGGGGCCGGGGCTTGACAACCCTGGTTATATCCTCGTTTCCCTGACTGATGTACTTTCGTGTATCCGTCAGGTCTAATTCCAGCGCTTTGGCGATGATAGCGGCTAACTGATTCGTTTTAGGAGGAAGCTTTTTCTGCAACTTAGCCTTTAACGTTGGGTTTTGTAGATGATCGATGAATAAATCCCGAGCGGATTTTTCATCCCGCCCGGATTTATCCAGCGTAGTTTGAAAGCGATCAACAAAATCGCGCAGCAACTCTCCTGGTTCTTGTGGTCGAGTTTTGAGTACATGCCAGGCAGCGTCTTCACTGACCGTATCGAATCGGGCCAGGAATGCCTGTTTGAAGGTATTCCAATCTACCCAGTGGTGCTTCCTAAACCAATCGTGTGCCGTGTTGCGAAGCAACAAGGTGATGACACGGGGAAGATCCTCCGGACTGTAATTTTGAGCTTGGACGGCTTCCAGCCAGGCTTCGGGGTGTGTATAGTTGGGAAGGAAAGGGAAAGCAGCAGGAATACTAACAATCACCCTCGGGACAGCCATATTGCCATCTGGCATTGGCGTAGATGCTCTTGCTTCGGCAAAACTAGATCTAGTAAAGGGGTGGTCTCGTCGAGCAGGTTGAGGACTCTTCTTCTTCCTCTCGCCAGATCGACTTACTTACATCAGAACCGACACGAGTCGGCTCCGATACCAACCTCACGCCCTGCGCTGTCTTTCGTTCGGAGTGCACATAGGGGTGGAATTGGCCCCGAAAGATCAGCAAATGGGGGTGTGCCAAGGATTTTTGGAAAATTGAGTGTGGGGACACAGACAGAACTAAAATCCCCTCGTGTTGGTCTAATAGAGTAAGTCGATTGTCTCCGCGCGTTGCGTAATGCGCGCGCGGGCACGGCGCGAAAAGAGAAAAATTTGAATTCAATCTAAAAAGTATTGTCGAACTTCCCACCGTGCCACTGCGTGTCATTTAGAGCGAAAAGGTTTTGGCACGCTCCGCGTATCTCGCTTCCTTATCAAATCCCAACGTCGCTCGTTGGTTAATTCCGAGTTCGACGTGGACGGTCTCAGTCGGGTGGCTCTTTCCTTGTGCTCTTCTTCACTCCGTATACAATAGTGGAACCCCTTTGATTCGTATCAATCGAAGCGTCGACACTCAGAGCATAGAGTTCTGGGTCAGTGGGGTACTACTGCCGTCCACGGAGTGACCATGAACTCGTTGAATGGCAACAACACAGAGTAAGGCGGGAACTGCGTACCGACAATGGCAAAGCCTGCGTCCACGAACCGAGAACAATGATTTTCGGGAGGAAAATAATATCCTCCGCCGATTTGTGCGACAGCTTCTCGTACGTCCCACTCACAGACACGTGTCCTTTCCTCGTTATACGAGAAGGGAGGCGCAGGTTTGGGAGATACGGGAGGCTGGCACCCAATCGAAACGCGCCCGTCAGTCCACATATCAATCAGCTGAATAAAGAGTGCAAAAATCCCGGACGTCATCAGCAAAGAAAATGCAAAGAGACTAAAATTCCCGCCAAAAACGTTTACGGAGCCCGTACAACTATATTAATTGGTGCGAACTGGATGGGTGGGGATTTCGGGGGACCACCCACGACTCAAGATTGATAATTTCGCCAGATGTATTTCCGAGGGGTTCTATCCCTTTTGGGGGGAGGGAGATGTCGTGCAGCATAAGGCAGATGGCATGCGCAGTGCATCCAAAGCGACATATCTAAACACTCTCGCATTCTCGGGCAAATTCAGAGAGCCCTCATCAAACAAGAGGCAACCACACCTTTCATTCACTGTGAAAGGTGAAAAAACAACCACACACTCATCCCATTTAATGAAAGCACACGGGGAGATCACACACACGCATCCACCGTTCACAAGACAAGACGGGGAAGTCCCGCACATTCGGGGATTACCTAGGAAACTAATGGAAGAGTTCCGGAAGAAGTTCTTCCGAGCAGAAGGTCATAGGTATTCACTCTTGCTTGCTATGTCTCTCTGATCGGAAAAAAGGTCGGGAGATACACAGATCTGAGACGAGTAGCGTCAGATTAACACTCAAAAAGAAGAAGAAGGGGAGGGAGAGAAAGCGGAAGAGTTCCGAAAAAAGTTCTCTCATGCCTGTCTCTTATACACATCTAGATGTGTATAAGAGACAGAGATTAACACTCAAAAAGAAGAAGAAGGGGAGGGAGAGAAAGCGGAAGAGTTCCGAAAAAAGTTCTCTCATGCTCGGATACATGCGAGTTCACTTCTGTTCACAGGCACTTCACACGTCATCATTCTCATTCACAGAAAGAGAGAAGGGAAGAGAGGAGGCTAAGGGAGAAGTCACACTCCGGAAATACACAGATCTGAGACACGGACCATTCGACTTCAATCTCACAAACTCATTCTCACGAGGGAGAAAGAGTATCAGGAAGGAAGAGAGGAGATAGACGAGGAATGTCGGAATCACAAGTACAAAAATTCAAAAAGTAACGATCGGCTTTGTAGCCTTGCACTCACACCAAGGGGAATAGATCCGCAATAAGAAAGGCGCATCCGTCGTGAAATTCCAACCTGGCCCAGGCCAGTTAACCAATCCACTCTACTGCTGATTTTACCCTGCATCCACGATCCAGGCCGTCGCGTGCAACCTTCCGCCCCTGCGATCGTCACCCCGCCGACGCAGCTCGACACGGCTCACCCAGACCCCACAGTCCGTCGTGGCGATCCAGCGCGCAACCGGCCAGCCTACAGTCAGCCCGACAGGACTTTCCGACTCGCACCAAACACATTGCCTAGCCACTACTTCCCGGAAGCTGGCTTGCGAGTTGAGAGCATGAGATAGATTTGCGGGCGCGCTTGCGGAATTTATAGTTGCGAGAGGAGAACGGGAAGGGAGGGAAGGAGGAGAAGGAGTCAAGGTGTAGAAAGGAGGGACTTAGAGGGGAAGACACAAGGGAAGCCATGTTGGGTCCTCACAACCCGGTGCTCGGCCAATCAGATTCGTCGTGCAATAGGAAGTCCCTTTTGCTCAGCGCGCCTGATTTGTGAGCGGGGGTAATCAGAAGATCGACCGGGCTTCGTGAGTTGAAGTTGGGGAGCGGGAAGAAAAGAGGCGCGAGAAACTGCGCAAGACGGGTCCAAGATTCAGTCGATCAAGAAGGAAGTACAGGCGCGCAAAGAGGAGGGAGAGAGGGAAAAACAGTTACGATGAGAGGAACAGGGGAGGGAGGGGAGAGAGAGAGAGATGATACGTGGGGGAGAAATGGCGCAGGGAAT